GACTTTTGAAGAAACACACTTTTCCCCCATTAAATAGGGCAAAATCATAATCAATTGCAAGTGGAATTCAAAGCTTAAGATCTCATCATTCGTAAATTCTCTTTGCACTCCCTACTTTCTTGTCATGTTTTTGTGTTTTAGCTTTAATCGATCTTGACAATTAATCATAGTCGTTTATCCAAATAACAAAAAAATAAAAATCACAAATCTTACACTTATTTTGTCTCTTCATTACTTTCGTGATAAAGTACACTTATACATATATAGTATAATATTTACACGTATAATGAAACAATTAATTTTATGATAGAGTTTTGACACGTGTTTAACTCAAGATAATTAACATGTTAGAACGATTTTGAAAAACCATTTGTAAATAAATAGCCTCCACATAATTTCAAAGAAATGTATTTGCTACATCTAACGTTTTCTCCCAAACATTTTTTTAATCGATCGATCACGATCATTAAGAATTTATTGATTTTTTTTTAATATTATATGAAATATTGCTCAACATCTCTTTCTTTATATATAAAAATAAGAGATACTTATTTACTCAACGAATAAAAAATTTAAATTTGGTTATCTTTATAATTTAACATAATAATAAATTAAAATTTTCATTTTTACGATAAATAGCTATATACGATTATAATATACGTTGCTTTACCTAACGATAATGGTTTAAGTTTATAGTGTCATCATGTGATAAGAATGTTTATAGAAAAGAAATCCAATAATTTCTTTACACAGACAAAAGTTGTAACAAGGAATAGACTTCATCCAAACTACAACATAAACACATTTGAATACATTATATTTTGATTAGATGAAAGCATTAGAAATAACAAAATTTTATGACCTGCCTCAGACTTCTTTTTTGTAGTTCTTAAAATATCTGATAGCAAACCTCAGGCATATAGATAAGCATGCAACATGTTATGCAGTGGTGCGAAAGTATTATAACGTAAGCACTGTGAGTTTGTATTGGTTTACTTTATCCTTTGGTTTGCATGGAATAGGAAAGGGATGAAGCATATCCACAAGGTTCTTGCGATCTCTAGAATAGAGGGGGGCAAAAAACTTTTTGTTAGGGGGTTGTCTGATCCGAACAAGATTTTTTTGTGGAAGAGAAGATGAACACTTGTTTTCATTCCATTAATTTGAGCACCTATTTTGTCCAAACCGAACTCATTCAATGAAAAACAGAAGGAGGGTTCTCTGACCATGACGCCTAAAGCATTATGAATGCATGTTGCAGAAATCTATGGATGAACCCAGAAAAGTCCCAAACAACCTACCGACCAGACAAGGTTTTTTGTGAGCAATGACACGCACATTTCCCACTACTTTCTGCTGATTTAGATTTAACATATTATGACACTTCAACCAGAAAAATAAAATAACATAAATGTACCTTCCACCTCATATATACAGATACACTTCTCATTCTGTCCCCACCTTTTCAGCTCAAAGTTTTTTGGAAGCTATAAATCATGTCATAAATAATACCAATTCACTGAAAGTAGTAGTGATGTTAAATAATTATCATTGTCGACATATATAGTCCAAATTTTCTGCATGTGATCACTTACAACTTAAGAATCTAATCCCTTTCTCAATATATATCTATCTATATATCGATCCTTTGAATATTAGAGATCCGAGGTTGTTTGTCTGACATGAATCTTTTAAGTCAATTATGAAGACTTGGGGTGGTATATATACATGAGAAGTTGATAATATAATTATCAGGTCATAATTAATCTTCTTTTGCAGTAGTTATTCTGAATTCTCAACTATTGGATGTTTAAAGCATTCTTTTTAGAACACGCATCATTAAGTTTGGATTACATAACCTCTCTGTATATATACCAAGATCGACAATCGACTAAGGATAAAGAAAAAAATCATATAATAAATAAGAGAAGAGAAAATATGATAAATTTTTACTTTCTAGATAAATTTTTAAATTTGACAATCTTTCAATAATACTTTTTTATATAAGTTTCTATTTTTTAATTTTAATTTTTTATTATCAAAACAACATCATATTCTTTATACAAAATAAATAATTCTTTAAAATTTCTCAATTAAACCAATTATGAGATATTTTTTTTACAAGTTCCTTGATTAACTTATTACTGATGATTTTTCTAGTGTTTATCTTCTCATATTCTTAGAAATAAAAACTACTAAAAAATTACCAGGTAATACGAATGATTAATAAGATTTTTAAGTTAATAAAATTAAATAAGAAAATAGATAAAATTTATGTTTGTGAAAGTAATTTAAATATACATCTCAATTATTTGTTTATTTTTGAAAGATTAAACAGCCATTTTGGTTCAAAAAATATTTGTATCTATTCGCTGGGATAAATTAGAAGATTCTTTATATAATTTTTATTATATAAATTTATTAAATATATATTAATTTAGTAATAATATATAAAATAATATATTTAATTATTAAACTATGATATTGAATAATATTAAAATAAGTATTGTTTATTATCTTAAATAATGAAGTAAGAATTTATAAATTGAGTATTTTATTCTTTGAATAAATCATCTCATTTATTTATATAAATTTTTCTGCTGTTATTATATTATTTATTTTCGTAAGTAATTGCTTTTTTAGCATCATTAAACTCGACATAGGAAAACAAAAATCATCTGCATGTACAAGAACAATGATAAATCGAATATACATATTGTTTAAAAAAAATATTTTACTAATGTTTTGATAATCTTTTAGCGTCTGGTCGATTGATGAATGATTAGATATACTAACAATAATAAACTAGACATGAATTTTCGGTTAATCAATACATTATCCATTTCAATTACAGCTTTTATCGCCGGTGTTTTCTCTCTCTCTCTCTCTCTCTCTCTCTCTCTCTCTCTCTCTCTATATATATATATATATATATATATATATATATATATATATGTGTGTGTGTGTGTGTGTGGAGATATTATACGTTTTCTGCATTATCATCTGAACTACGTTGGATCTGTAAGATATTATAACTTTTCTTCAATGTTTCCTTCATATGAAAATAAAAAATAAATATACTACATTACTGAAAGATTCTCAGTGAGAATTTATTAACAAAATGGTAGCTCCATAATTACAAAATTGTGTAGCTAATAAAATAAAATCATTTAGTGACTCATAAAAAAAATGCAAATTTCTAAATGTAATTTAAATGTAAGCGAATTTCAATTATTTATTAATTTACACTTAACTAAAGTCAAGAACAAAGGCACGGCTAAGGACCAATGTCATTTCTAATTTCTTAAAGTGTTTTTAAATTAATATAATAAAAGTTTATGTATTTCTAACATTAAAAATAATGTGATGTTGAGATATTTATATATATTATCCAAAATTATTATCTTCATATTTTTTTATATATTATTTTTTTATTCAATATATTTATATACTCTTATTTATAAAAATATTAGATATACATTAATTTTTTTTTGTTTATTTTATGCTTTTAAAAAAATTATTTTTTCTGTACTAAATTATGTGTGTGTGTTTTTTTTGGCTTTTCCAAACTTTTCATATTCTTGTATAAAGTATAGGTAACATATGCAAATGTAAGTATATTTACATATCTAATTAATATAATGATAAAATTAAAAATTGTTAATTATATGAATACGAATATATTTTTTCTTTTAAAAAAATTGAATAAGTATTGCAATATCCTATTTCACTCTAGTTACAATAATCCAGCTAGCGCCTATTTGAAAAAAAATTCTGCAAGAATTAAAAAAAAACAATTATTTTGTTTATAAATTAAAATTTGTATACATAAGTTAAAAATAATAAAAAAGGAACTTTATAAAATTGGATTGTACACAAACTAATTTTAATTTATATAAAAAAATATTGTTATTTTTTATTTTTTTTCTCTTATTATAAAAAAGAAATTCGGGACTTATATAGGGTTTTGTAAAGACATTGAAGAACAAAGATCTGGTTCTTATTGTATTTCGGATCTAGGGTTTCTCATTTTTTTTTCTTCTCTTTCTTGCATGGCAATGTAAGTTATCATCCGCTAGGGATAGTTCATTCTCTTAACACTTGGGGCATCCAATAGAATTGATTTGAAGTACATTTGGCAATTAGGGGTAACATTTGATTGAAAAGCATAAAGGTTGATAATTTATAAGAAAAAAAGTTGAATGAAGTGCTGAATTTGATGAGTAACTAGGAGATATACATAACTATAATTAAATGACTTAAGATTCAGGAAATGGAATTGTGAAGTCAGACGAAGAGGACGTGTGCTTTTGTTTGAAAATGGTACGTTTACAGGGATAGGTGATTGTATACTGCGTAGAAAAGGAGGGAATTGCATGAAATTGCTAAAAATTTTGATGGTGGAAGGCGTCTCCAAGTCAAAAGGGATGAGTTCCAGCAGACCTATTATTTCCTTTTCCCACAAAGGCATTATATCTATACGCATCTTCAGTCCCACCCGAACAGTGGCATAATAAAAAAATGTACACACAAATATCATGTAAATTTGTTTAAACCCGAATCTCTCATGATTAAGGTGCTGTAAACTTCAGCTTACCTGAAAATTTGGGATCCTGCAATGACTTGGCTGAAAGGCTCTAATATTTAACCAAGCAGTGGGATTTGCGTTTGCTTTTGTTTTAAGAAAGTGGCTATTGGGTATTGAGGTCAAAGGGAAAATGGAAGTTGGCGTGGGTTGGAAAGAGACAACCCTGTCCAAAAGAATGCAGCGTTAAGAATATATATAAATAAGGAAACCAAGCCAAACCGAAAAAGGCCCCCAGGGGGTAATATCGAAGGCAATAGCAATACTACTAAGACAAGCTAACAATTCCTCCCATTTACCTTGTCTCTCTCTTCCTCCTAAATATTCAAACAAGAAAAGAAAGGAATTCCTCCCCGTATAATAAATAATACCTCTATATCTCTTCCACAATCTCACTCTCTCTTCCTTCCTCACAATGCCAACATTTATCCCAAATTTGGCTATCAGCTATGCTTTTCTTGCATTTTTTCTATCTGCAGGTACCCTGTTTGTTCTGTTTTTCTATGAACCTTTTTGTTTTTGCATACCCTTTCATGTATTTGTTGTAATTATAATAGTTAGCTTGGTCAAGTGCTAACATATTTCTTTTTTGTTGATTGTATAATCATAGGTATTGGAGTTTTTATAGGTGTTGAGTCTTTTGGAATCAACTATGGTCAAGTGGCTAACAATTTGCCACCGCCAGACAAAGTCCTTGAATTGTTGAGCACCCTTAGCCTCACAAAAACAAGAATCTATGATACTAATCCTCAGATTTTGAGTTCTTTTGCCAACTCAAACATTGAAATCATTGTGACAGTGGAAAATGAAATACTAAGCCAGTTGGATGATCCTCAGCAAGCAGCACAATGGGTGAACAGCCACATCGTACCATACCTACCCGAGACAAAGATCACGGGGGTTCAGGTTGGGAATGAAGTCTTCACTGATGATGACACCACTCTTCTTCAGCACCTTGTGCCAGCAGTGGTGAACATTCACAATACTCTAGCTCAGTTAGGTTACTCAAACATCAAAGTTTCAACGCCTAGTTCGTTGGCAGTGCTTGCTGCGTCATACCCTCCTTCAGCTGGTAGTTTCAAAAGTGAAATCTCTGGGATCATGTACCAGTTTTTGAACTTCTTGTCAACCTCTAAGTCCCCGTTCTGGATCAATGCGTACCCCTACTTTGCTTACAAGGATAGTCCTAGTGGGATTCCTTTGAACTATGTGCTGTTCAATCCTAATGCAGGAATGGTTGACCCTTACACCAATCTCCACTATGATAACATGCTTTATGCTATGGTAGATGCTGTTTCATTTGCCATTGCTAAAATGGGCTTCAAGGGGATAGAGGTCAGGGTCTCTGAGACTGGTTGGCCATCAAAGGGAGACGCTGATGAGGTTGGTGCCACGCCAATGAATGCTGCAACTTACAACAGGAATTTGTTGAGAAGGCAAATGGCAGGTGAAGGGACACCATTGAATCCTAGAATGAGGTTGGAAGTGTACTTGTTTGCGTTGTTCAATGAGGACTTGAAGCCTGGACCAACCTCAGAAAGAAACTATGGTCTGTTTCGGCCTGATGAATCCATGACTTACAATGTTGGTTTGTCTGCTCTTGCAACCTCATCATCATCATCAACTTCCTCCTCCTCTTCAATTTCTCTTGCTTCCTCTGGCGCTAGGATCAAGGTAAAACAATAACCATGGATTATGAAGCTCTTTTTCACCATTATATTAGTTACTTAGCTTATAATGCAAGTTTCATGATAACAAGAGAACATGCATATCATATCAATGTAAAGAGGGATATATGTGTAATTTACATCTAAGCAAATATTTTATGAAAATGTTTTATCATGAAATTTTTAGAGCAAATAATATATCCGCTAATAATATAAAATGATTTTTACAACGTCAATACATCAGAAATCTTCATGCATATAAAAGTTTAATGAAACTTGTACCATAACTATTTTAGTAGTTATACTTGAATTTTGACTGGAGTGCATAAAAATTTAATTATATAGGGAGTTATAGCACTAATTGATATATTTCAATATAATTATTTACATTGATAATATTTGTTCCTTTTCTCTTTTAACCATGAAACAGGTAGCACCATGGGAATGCAAAAGCTTGATGAACTGGATATTTGTATATATACTGATTTCAACCCTTTATGGGTGAAGAATATCCCCATACTGTGAAATTCATGTCAATATCCTCATTAAGTACAGTTGGGATTTTACTTCGTTCAAGTGACCCAAGAGATCCACCCTAAACAAAAGCATTATGGAATCTCAAGTTCGAGCGTTAAAGGTACACTATTTTGCAGAAAATAGAGACCAAAACACTTTCCAAACAATTGGGCAGCAAAACCAGCAAAACAACACAGGAAGAAAGGAATTGAAGTGGTGAAAATGGAACACTACCCAACGTCTTAATCAAGTGGCTATGCTTACGTCCACTTACCCCACCATTAGTCAGTAGTCACATTCTAGCAACTAGCATGCATGTGGCGGTGACGGAAAACTGAACTTATTTTAGGTAGACAATGGACAAAAGCCATCTCATTCTTTCAATGCAAATGTTGCAGAAGAATAAATTCTAGTTTCAGTTTAATTGCTTTGATTATCAAATACGCAATATATGTTGCATGTCGTGAAGTTAATTTCACTTTTCTTTGCTTCCTGGATACGACTATATTCCTTCAAATCATAAGATCATATAAAGTTTTATATTTTTTAAAATTAAAAACTATTCAATTTCAACTTCAAGTCTAATTATCATTTTTTTAAAGTCATGTAAGAATTTTAAATGTATAGAGAAAACAAATTCTTCCATCAAACTAAGGAGTAAAACTCATCTAAATCTTTGTTATAGTATGACATGTTCAGATAAATAATATCTTATAATCATTATATTTAACCTATTTTTTATTTTAATGGTTAGTAATTTCATTGTATTTTAGTTTTAAAAAAATATCTTAGTAGTGAGACTTTTGAATGAAAAAAATACTATATAAGTTTTCAATAAAACTTTTATGAGGTTAATATACATGTTTACAAAACCAAAAGTTAGAACTTCCTACTTTTAATTTCACTAGTGAAAAGATGAATAAAGAACTAGTTCTTGAAGAGAAAACAGAAGCTACCCTGATTGTTGTTAAGAAATACCAAGATTATTTTTTTGGGTACATTTTTAAAGATTAAGATGTCGTAAGATTATGATTCCTTCTCTTTCGCCACTTTTATGATATTGAGTAGGCTCTAGTATAAAGTTTAATAAAAAAATATGTTGAAAACCTTATTATAATACACAAAGATAAGGTTTAATTTGTTTCTATTATCTTCTAGAGGACAGTGGGGCGGTTATGCTTTATTCCCTCTGCCAAATAAGCACCATCATAGGGTCATTGCAGCCCCATTCCCAAAGGGGCCTTTTTCAATGGTTTATTTGTTGTTGAATTATAATTTTCTGCTCTCTTTAGACCTTCTATTTTTCTTGTCTTTAAAAGATGGATGGATGATCAAACCTCAGCCATATGAGAAGGTGATGGAGATTGGTCCAGCTCTTTGACATCAGCTAACGTGGTGCACATGAACCCCTCAATTTATGATGCTGACCATTAAATATTTCTTCTTTTTCTTTTGGGGCATTAGAAAAGTGCAATTTTCAAAGAATCCACCAAGAATATTTGTGTTCTAGTATTATGGAGTTGAACATTCTTATTTGAAACTGTATCTTAAAGACATGTGATGTGACAACATTTTGGCCTTCTAGTGAATTGATTAAAGCATAATAAGACGTGTCCCAAATAGGGGTCCCATGGAATATAGCTTCAGCATGTGAAGTGCTCTTCTATTATGAACCTGAAAAAAATGTGATCCTTGTATTCTTAAGGCCATGCTATTTCAGAGTCTCTTTCTTTTGCCAGGTTGCTAACCCATCCACTCATACCTCAATTATACTGAATAATAAATCGAATGATTTTGTCTATTTTCCATTTTCGGGATATGTTTTTCGATCATTTGTGATCTCTTGAACTGTAGTTTTATACAGAGCCAGATCAATCTATCACCTTTTTAGAACTTCAACATGCCACTGCTGAAATTTCAGGGGGCAATGCTCATAAATGTCATACTCATTTTAGAACTTGTAATGTCTAGTTGCTTTCGACATTGACTGAAAAGATGGATAAATAAAATCAAACTTACACACCTGGTTATATGTTTGAATTTTACTCCACCTTCAATCTAAAATGTCAAAGTTAAATAAAAACCCTAATTCAGAAGGTTTGGTGGGGACAAAGTTGGCTCTCTAATGATCAAAAGCAATATCACACACCTCCACTCTGTTTAGTAATTTGCGTAAACTTGAATAAAAGCATTAAATTTTTTTTAAATCACCTTGTTTTTACTTTTTATAATTTCTTTTAATATTTTATATGGAAAATGGTCAAAGTAATCTTTTTGAGGTACATTAATATTGTATTGCACAATGAACATAGTGTCTCATATGGCATGATAATATTTGAGTATTGTTTAATTTAAGCAATTATGATTTTATAAGTGAGTTCACTTTGTTGACTATAGTGTCTCACTTAATAATATGTATAATTACTGGAAATGATGGTTACAGGTTTAGATAGTTTATATGAGGTCTTTTATTACAACTTTATTCTTATATATTATGTCAATTATAAGATCTTCAATAAGTTTTAATTAAATACTTTATTCTTAAAAAGTTTTTATTACTTATATCATTTCTAAAAAAGTACATTAATATAAAAAAAAATTATACTCATTTTATATCTATTAAAATTGACATAGTATAAACTCTTGTAATAATAAATATATAAACTATTTTATAATTCCTTTTTTTTCCTTAATTTTGATTAACACAATCAAAATAATATATAATTATAATTCAATATCATCGTTAACAAAACCAAACTTCAATCCAACCTCGTAGGTTTCATCTGGGCTTTTCTAGGACCCATCTAGGCTTCATTCCTACGTCTAACCTAGGTTTGGATCCGCTATGAAGTTCACCAAGCTAACAAGTTTTTTTTTTTTTTAATATTCACAATCACAAAAAAAAAAAAAAACTCATTTGTAAAATCTTGGACTTAACGGATTTAACTAAATCCTATTCCCCCTAATTGGCTAAAACCCTGACCTAACTCACTCATGACAAGCCTCACGCACACGAATCTCATCTCATCCTTCTCCCCCTGCGACTGCACGCACCACACGCACCCACGGCACACTGCCACCGTTAGCACGAAGATGGAGTGACGCCGCCGTGAATGATGCCCTCCCCTCATATTCAAGTCGTTTCTGTCGTCGCACAGGTCGGTTCTCCATTTCCCTTCCCGACTCAGTGACCTGTTTATGATGTTATTTGTTGATTGTTAAAGCCCGCAGACCGGTCCGTTATCCGTGGGCTTTTGTGGAGCGGACACGGGCTCGCCCATTTATTTTGCAGACCGATTTTATCTGGTCTGCTTAAGATGCGGGCTTTGCGGACCGGGACTTGAACCGCCGGACAGCTTAACCCAAAACAAGTTTTCTTACAATAAAAACAAAAGGTTTTCAAATATTCAGCACGAAGACTGTTCCTGCTCTGATTCTGGCTAATGCTTATTGATGAGCTCATTATGGCTAAGGCACACCGCAAAAACCTTCCGTTTGGACGCCCCCACGTTGTATCAGAACCTCATTCTCACATTGAAATCATGCAAAGCCACCTTCGAAATCCGTCAAATTCATGCTCACATGATCAAGACCTCTCTCGACAATGTCCCTTTCACTCTGAGCAAGCTCCTCGCAACTTCCATCTTAGACATGGACTATGCAGCTTCCATTTTCAGTTACGTTCAAACCCCAAATCTTTTCATGTTCAACACAATGCTCAGAGGCTACTGTATCAGCAATTGCCCCTACAAAGCTTTGCCCTTTTTCAATGATCTTAGGGAGCGCGGAATTTGGTTGGACCAGTTCTCTTTCATCATGGCGCTCAAGGCATGTGGTCGAGTTTCAGAAGTTGGGGTTGGGAAAGGGATACATGGGATTGCAGTGAAGTCTGGGAATAGGGACTTTGTTGATGTGAAGAATGCCCTTTTGCATTTTTATTGTGTTTGCCACAGAATTGAAGATGCACGTAAGCTTTTTGATGAATTTCCTGAGAGAAATGACTTGGTGTCTTGGAACACTTTGATGGGTGGGTGTCTTTCTGTTTCTCAGCCTTGTTTGGTTTTTCGTTTGTATTGGAAGATGTGTTTGGTTGGGCTTGAAGTCAGTGTTGCCACTGTCTTGGTTCTTTTGTCAGCTGCTGGTGACATAGGGAACTTTGGTGTTGGGAAGTCTCTCCATGGGTGCTGCATCAAAATTGGTTTTAGTTCTAATTTGAACGTCATTACTGGATTGATTGATCTTTATGCAAAGGCGGGTCATATCCATTTGGCACGGCAAGTTTTTGATGGTGTTACCGAAAAAGACGTCGTCTTGTGGAACTGTTTAATAAGGAATTATGCAAGGAACGGAATGGTTGGGGAAGCAATGACTTCACTCAAGCAAATGAGTTTTCAAGGAATGAAGCCTAATTCTTCTACCTTGTCAGGGCTGCTCTCAGCTTGCCCTGCATCTGGATCTATACATGTAGTTCGCCACATTGCTAGTTTTGTAGAAGAGCAGAAACTGGAACTGAATGTGGTTCTTGGAACGGCTCTTGTTGATGTGTATATTAAGTGCGGCTTTCTAGATGAAGCCATGAACATATTTGACAGGATGGAAGATAAAGATGTGAAATCTTGGACTGCCATGATTTCTGGCCTTGGAGTTCATGGGCAGCCAAGTAAAGCCATTAGGCTTTTCTATAGGATGGAAAAGGCGGGGTTTAGACCAAATGAAGTCACTTTCTTGGCGATTCTGACTGCATGTAGTCATGGAGGGTTTGTGATGCAGGGGATAGAAATTTTTAAGCACATGGTTCAGAAATATGGCTTTTCACCACAGGTTGAGCATTATGGATGTCTTATTGATCTCTTGGGCCGAGCTGGAATGCTACGTGAAGCACATAAACTAATTGAGAGCTTGCCAATTAAGGGTGATGCCACTGCATGGCGTACTCTGCTTTCTGCTTGCCGAATCTATGGAGATATTAAATTAGGGAAGTGCGTGAAAGATGTGCTAAAGAGTATTTATACAGAGCATCCTACAGATTCCCTCCTCATTTCCGGCACTTATGCAGTTGCTGGAAGAATCGCTGATTTTACAAAAATGCAAGAAATGAAGCAAACAAATGTTTTAGTAGAAAATTATTGGGCAAATAAAACTGAAAGAGAAAATATGGTAAAGGAGGTTGGGCTCAGCAGAGTTGAAATTGATAATTAGGCATGAGAATACTAAAGATTAACGAGCAAGTGCCGTCCCTGTTACACTAAGTAGTGGCTTTTATGGAGCATCAAAACTCAGTCTAACATGTCTGAACACAAAATACAAACAATTCCTCAAGTAATCTTATTAGTAGTTTAAAATTTAAAAAAATTAGCATCCACTAGAAATATCAATGAAAGAAATGTTTAAGTAAGAAAGAGAAGATGTTGCTCATATGAATTTTTATGTTGTTCTATCCTTAACCTGGATTTACATCTAGTCTATATTACTCAAGGGATTTTTCATCGCAATCACAAAAATATACATCTATTTTTCCTCCATAGATCTCTACAATCTATCAATAGTTTAACAAGGCTATGTAACTTGGGATTAAATTCTTAACCTCTGGATTGAAAATTGGATGTTTGGTGGGACATTGTCCCAACCCATTTAAGAATACAAAACCATGAACTAGAAGTTTGCAAATTAAAGAAGGTAAAACTTTTAGTATTTATCACTGGTTTTAGCTGTATATTTGAGATTTAAAGATGCAGCGTTTTAGATTTTCATCTTCTTCCATATTGGCTAAAAACTATTAGAGGGGTTCGTCTATACTAATGCCTGGTAGATTGTGGGGTTATTGATTTAACACTTTAAAAGAGTTTCATTCCAACATGTAATATGTGCATTGTGGTTACCTTTCCTCACTCCGTCTCTTTTTAGATTTTAGTTGTTTGTTTCCATATAGATGTGTAAATGTGGTTTTCTAGAAGAAGCTAAGATAAAGATGAAATCTTGGACAGACATGACTTCTGGCCTTGGAGTTTATGGGCAGCCAAGTAATGCCGTTAGGCTTTTCAAAATAATGGAAAATGAGTGGTTTAGACCAAATGAAGTCACTTGATGATTTTGACCACAGATTGAGCATTGTGGACGTCTTATTGGATTAATACACTCATATCAAATCACATGAGCCTTCCTATTAAGTAGAAGAAGTGTAGTCATTAAATGTGCAATTTAATTACAAACATTCATGCCTCCACATATTAAGAAGATTGTTAAAAAGAACATTAAAAGCTTTAATGATCCTCTAGTCATTAAAAGAACATTATGCAACATACAAGTATCAACTATTTCCTCTCTAACAAAGGATCAAATTCTACTTTGCATAACTCCATCCTCCAACTCTCATGCATTTTCAGTTGCAATCTTCATGAGACATAGTTCCCTGGAATCCTGAAAGAAGGTTGTTTCTCTGCTTGATTATTGTAACCAATGATGAGTTCTATACATTCTTCAAGAAAGATTCACTTCTAACTCAACTTTTTAGCTAAATCCTAAAATGTTCTATACATTTTAGCTGAATCAACTTTTGACATTAAATTAAGAAACATATATATATATATATATATATATATATATATATATATATATATATATATATATATATATCTTTTTTTGAAATGTTGAATTAATTAGATGACATTCAAGTTCAAATAATATAAATACTTCAATAATAGGCATATTAAAGTGAACCTATATACTTAAATGTAAAATAATTAATTTATCATTATTTATTTTATTAACTGTCTTCTATATTTTGTTAATATGTAAATGATTATGATGTTTATCTCTCCCAAAAATACAAGTCCAAATATGTTCATTGCTAAAGCCCCATAACATAACCTAAAGCAAATATCCAAAAATGCAAAACTCACAAGGTTCAGTAACAAGGAATTGACCCAACCGGCCTAAACTAAATGGTAGTAGCAAATGCCCAAAATTATTGTAAATGTCACACTAAATAGCTTGGATAGACTAATTCAAATTAGGCTTGTTCTTCCAACACCCCCATAATTTCTTTTGCACTCTATGTAAAGTATCAATAATATCTTTACTATCAGTTTTTCTCTTTTGTGCGGCAACTTCATACCAACACTTGTATTTCTATTTAATATATCTTCAACCATTTATTGATGATTTATATTTGAATAGGATAACATGTGCATCCAAAAATCCTATAGAAAATAGTATTCCATTTGTGTTTGTAATATTCTGAATTATTAAATCCAAAATACATTTATAAAAACAAAAATCTGAAAATGAGTTTTGATAGATTAATTCATATTTTATTTCTGAATTATCTTTTATGAACATGTATTTCAAATTTAACAATTCAGACCTCATTTCATAAATGAATTTTGGATTATTGAATCCAGTAAATACAATCTAATATTCTTTTTGGGATTGTGTTTTTCCAAAATTAGTTTTCACTTTTTAAAAAAATAATTCGGAAAGATCAATCCAATAAATTTTTGAAATGAATTCTCTAAAATATATTTACATTACAGACAATATTGTCATTTTAGATAAATATGAACAAAAATATATAAAAAGTATAAGAGTACATGAAGAAACAACCTTCAAATTAATACAAGCTAATTGTGCTTAATTAAATAAACTTAATCAAAATGATGTCTGTCGATACAACAGTCAAAACGTGTACCCAAGTCCAATTTAGTATAATCTTATGGATTAAATAAAAAAATTTAATAATTCAGTCTTGACCTATATTTAAATTAGATCATAATTTTTAATTATTATAATATGGTCTTATGTTAGATAAATAGATTAACGTACTATTTTTTTTTAATTCAAAAAATATTTAAATAAAAATAAAAATATATTTTTATAAATAATTATTTAAAATATAATGATTTAATATATAAATTATAAGAAAACATATTCATTTAATATCAAAATAAAAATTAAAAATTTACTTTAAATTGTCATTAATTATTATTAAATAATTTATTAATCTAAAATAGTAATTAATCTTAATAATTAGATATTAAAATAAACAATTATTAAAAAATTATTTTTAAAATAAGTAAATATTTTAATAAATTAATTTTTAATACATATATATTTTTATAAAATAATAATATTTTTATTTTAAATAAATTATTATTCTATAACACAAACTAATCATAAACTTTTAAACTATCCTAACCTAAGCATGTGTAAACGATAATCTAAACATACTGAACCAAACTATATTTAATGATCATAAAAAAATTCATTTTAACATATTTTTTGAATTTTTTTATTGACATTAAACTTATTTTAACACCTTGTTTATTTATGAGTCTAACATAACAAAAGGTTAAGAAAATTAAGAAAACATTAAAAAAAAAACATTATATATAAAACAAAATGAAAAAAAAAAACCCATAACTTTAACAAGGTATTTTGTAGACTTGTTATTATTATTATTTTAAAAACCATTATAAAGTACCATGTTCATACTCATGCATAGGAAGTATTCTTGTGAAAGTTCATTTACGTTATTTGTCAAATTTTTATGAGAACTCTGCTATCATAAAACGATCCTTGTATAATATTTTTTTCCTACAAATTAAACTCTTACAAAATGTATATTTTATAAAATCATATTTATTAATATTATTTGAGGTTATAGTTAAATACATACACCTATATAATAAATCATAAAGTTAAGTAAATATCATTTATAAAAAAAAATTTCTTCAATTTATACATATTTTTATAACAGCTATCACTCTATAACTTTTTTATTATCAGAATATATCCATAATTCTATCGTTCCATTCAATTAAAATTTGTTGAGTTATGGTAGACAAAAAAAAATTATAATCAATCTAATCCAATCTATATCTAATTTAAATTGGGTTTCTCATGGAATTTTAAAATGATAATTTCAAAATATATTTTATAATTTTTTAAAATGTTTTTTTAAACAACTCTATTATTTAATATATAAGTAGTTGAGTATTTTTAAAAAAAGTGTATTTAATCAATAAAATAAATTAATAATTATACAATAATAACAACACTGTTTATTATTATTATCATTATTTAATAATTTGGATAAAATTAAATTTCAAATTCAACAAACAAAATTTGTCAAACAAAATTTATAAAAAGTTAGCTGAAATTAAATTGAAAGAAATATAATTTAATTGTAGAAAACAATTTATCTTAGAGGGATTGGGTAAGAGAATATTCATCCTAATAAAAATGCTTAATTCTTATTCATTTATATTATTTTTCTAATTGAACAAGGTGTGAACTGACGAAGAGATGTGAAACAATTTTTTAGTGTAAAAAAATCTTGAAAGAGGTGTAAGCAAGAATTTGAGTGAGTGAAGTAAAAGCTTGCAGAGTTCAATGAACAAAATGATGCAATAAAAATAAAAATAAAAATGTCAGAACAATTAAAAGTGTTATAATTTATGAGTGAGTACTGTTTTGGATAAAATTACATACAGAAAGAAGAAAAGGAAAGAATGGATGAAATGGAAGAAGTCGTGGATGTGATGATGAATTGGATGAACTATAAAAGTAAGTCCTTAAAATTAACAATATTCAGTGAAAGATGGCAAAGATTTTGTCCTTGAAAATAACAAACCGACCATTTCAAGACGATTACGAGTCAAAACTTACTTCTCCGAAAGCCTTTTGAACTCATGTTATTGCCTTTGGTTGGCCAATAGATCAATTGTTGGGATCTCTTTAACTTCCCTTTCTTCTCCTCTTCTTCGATTCGATTCAGCTTTTTTAGTTCCAGTTCTCCACAAGATTCTTTCTGCTACAATAATCATCATCATCGTCATCCAATGTTATCCTTTTACATGTTTTTAACTTAAATATTCTCTGCACGTGCATATGTACCCCCAAAAGTCCCCCAACTATGACGGTTTGAAATTCTTATCATAGATAATTTATTTTAGTCTCTAAAAAAAAGCATTTTCCTTCTCGATGTTTTAATTTTAAAGCTGAAAGCACTCTTTTAGTTTGATATAGTTTGAGGATTCTCTAATTTTGTTCTATCTTTTCTTTTTTCCCTATTCTTTTTACATATTTTAACTTTTCCTTTTCTTCATTTTCTACTCTAATATTCTCTTTGTTTCATTGTTCTATGTTAAAGGTTGAAGAGAATATTTTTTTTATCATAAGATGACTATTTTCTTAATAAT